CTTTTTCAAGTACTTTTATGTACATTCTAATTGCTCAGCTGAAAATAATTAAATCAAACAATGTGTCATACAAAGTTTCCACGTCAAATACGCAAAGACTCTCAGGCACAATATTACCATTTGAAAATTTTTGGAAAATTTACAGACCGTAGAATACCAGACCGAAAAATAAATAATCTTACATGTCATTAAGAAAAGTCCAATATCATTCTTTTGAATATCGACATAATTTTTTGGTTCTATAAAAATCTCTTTGATCGGATATATTATAGTCACGTAATTAAAATTTTTCATTTTGCGTGGATAAGAACTCGAATAAAATTTTGTCGACAATATTCTTAAAGTTTTTCTCTATAGTTAAACAGTGTATTTGCGTAGAAATGATAAGACATTTTTTCAGAATTGAAAGTAATATAATTGTAACTGTAGTTTTCAGCGACGTTGTGATTTGATTTAAATGATATACCTAAACTTTTAAGTGCCAGATAAAAAACAATCAAAATTTCAATTGCACACAATTTAAAGAATCCATTAATATGTCTTTGAATCATCTGTCATTTCAATAATTATAATAAAAAAAGGAATTAAGAATTTTATGTGTTTAAAATGAAACAATTTGGAATAAAATATTTAGTTAGAGATTTATGTAATTTGGAAAAAGTACACCTTTTCAATCGAAGTATAGAACTACACTTATAGAAATTAGTTGCCGATTCAGTTTTCTTTCAAGAGTGCAAAATCGTAATTATATTTAGCTGATTATAGAATATATGGAAGTACTTAAAAAAAGAATATTTCCATTTTATCCATTAAAATCATTGACCTTAAAATATAACGGTAACTAATAGAAAAATAATAATAACAAACAAAAGTAACAAATATTGTAAGTGTGCACGGCTGATTTGAATGCAAGTTTATCAAGTTCACGGCAATCATCTCGAGTTTCCTTGTATAGTAGTACTTGGTCCGATTAAATCTTCAATGAATTGCATTATAGCTTTATGATCCTATATGCGAGTCTCAATAATTGCTTGATTAATTCAATGTGCGTATTCAAAATATATTTCATAAATTGTATTTCGTTATATCTGAACTATTTTTGATTGCTGCAAATTATTGGTATTTTAACTAAGATACTTCAACTTCATGAACAATGAATTTTGCTGTTATATATATATATATGTGTATATATATATTTAGCTGCAGTGATAGTATTCAATGTCCAGGTTATCGATGCCATGTCTTTTGCAAGCACCCGATGGTGACACAATTTTCATATAGCATAACATCAGCATCCTAAAATCACCGAAGAGAAAGGCCATAGCAAGGTTTCTATACTGGACTATCACTTCTATACTTTGGACTTACTTGAAACGTCTTCTCACATATTTTCTGGCCTAAATATGTATTAGGGGCGACATAGTCACGAATAAACCGATTTTCGGCACTTTCTTACTTTTTCGCCTCTAGCTCAGCCGCTAATCAATATTTTTTGGCGTTCATTTATTAGTTTTATTCATGTAATTACAAATAAATACATAAATACAGATAAATAATAATATGAGTAAATTACGTGATGAAAAAATATCCTAATAAATACATGTATTTTAAAAATTTTTTTAACTAGCTGTACGAGAGGGGGGTCAATAAATCTTTATAAAATCCAAGAGATGGCGCTTGTCACTCTTAAATTATGATGTTTTTGGCAAGCAATACTACTAACTAGATATCGTACAAAGTTTCAGCTTGATTCATTAAGTCGTTTTTTGGTGAGCGTTGGTTGAACAAAAAGTTATTGGTTTGTGACGGGCGAATCCACCGTTGAGTTCGCTCGCCCTGTTCGTCTCTCTCTTTCTTCCGCGTGCTTTCCCCTGAGCCGCTGCCACATCGGTCTCGGTTGATTAAAACCGAGTATCGACGCACGACGTGGCTTTGTTGCAGGTTTGATTCCTGATGGGCGGAGATGCCTGGCGATGGAGGGATGGAGCGAGAGCGGGGAGCAGAGAAGGAGAGAGAGAAATAGTGTCGCCGGCATGAGTCGCACATGTGTGCGTAGCCGGCGGCGCTCGGCCGATTGAGTACCTATAGGGAGGGGCGCGTAAGACGTCGCGAAAAGCGCGAGATCGCGGCGTTAGTATGGCGTTGACCAGCAACTAATTTCGAGCTAGTTAAGCCTCGCGACTAAGAAGTGCGTGAATAGTGAATTAATACCGAGTGAACAGCATCACAGAGGAAGACCAGCAGAATCTACAAAGAGGGCTACGTAGTTAGCCCAGCGGATGTGGATTTCCACAGCAGCGCTTCCTCCTAAGGTCAGGTACCCTTTTTCGTTTCTCGGTGCGCGCCTCGATTTATTTCTCTAAGCATCGTATCGGCCAGACGTTGACGAGTGGCTGCATGCGTGAATTCGCATCGCACTCGCGGGAACTCACGGGACAGTTGTAAGGCGATGTTCTGTCTTCTGTGCGTTAATTCGCACGGAACGGACTAGCCCGGACTTGGCCGACGCACACGTCAAACGCCGCATGTAAATTGCTGTTTCAATAAAGTGTAAATAAATATCCGCAATGATGAGTTTTTTTGTGCAACCTGTCTCTCTCGTAACTAGGTAAATCGCGATTATCGACACTACCGGACGACATAAGCCCTTGTTAATTTTCCGCAACGAAGCGAATACGCCCTCCGAGCCTTCCCCCTTAAAATACTTTGTGACGCGACGTTGTTCGGACTTATTTCCCATGCGGAATTCAAAATTATTAACGTACGTGTTACAGGTTTATTGAAAAAATGGAAAAAACAGAGTTTCGAACGGTGATAAAACATTTTCATTCAAAAGGCCTTACACCAACAGAAATCACAGTTGAGTTGAACGCCGTTCATGGTAAGTCTGCCCCTGTATTTAAGACTGTTTATAACTGGATAAATGAATTTAAACGCGGTCGTACAACAACAAAAGATGAACCTCGTTTAGGACGCCCCGTAGAAGTGAATACGCCCGGAATGGTCAACAAAATCCACGATATGGTGTTGAGTGATAGAAGATTAAAATTGCGAGAATAAGTTGAAGCCACAGGGGTATCAAAGGGTACAATCATTTTAATTTTCATGAAAAATTGGGGATGAAAAAAATATCAGCAAGATGGGTGCCGCCTTTGTTCATTGTTGAAAACAAACGAACCCGAGTGGTCACCTCTGAGGCTCTTCTGGCACGCATACGTCGTAATCCAGAAGACTTTTGGCGTACGTCAACTCGTAACTGTAGACGAAATATAGGTACACCACTACACTCCTGAAACCAAAAAACAGTCCAAACAATGGATTACCGCAGGAGAACCAGCCCCAAAGAAGGCAAAGACAGTAAAGTCAGCTGGCAAGATTATGGCCACGGTTTTCTGAGATGCGCATGGAATCATCTACATCGACTACTTGGAAAAGAGCCAGACGATCATTGGACAATATTATGCGTCATTATTAGATCAGCTGAAAGAAAAAATCAGAGAAAAACGTCCTCACTTGAACAAAAAAAATGCCTCTTTCTTCAAGACAATGCTCGAGTTCACACGTGCAGTTTCGATGGCAAAAATTAACGATTTAAAGTTCGAATTAATTTACCATCCACCATATTCGCCTGATTTGGCTCCCAATGACTTTTTCTTATTTCCTAACCTTAAAAAATGGCTTGCCGGACAACGAGTAACGTCGAATAAAGAAGTGATCGCCGAAACAAATGCCTATTTTGAGGATTTTCAGAAATCATATTTTTCTGATGATTTAAAAAAACTTGAAGGCCGTTGAATCAAATGTATCGACCTGCAAGGAGATTATGTTGAAAAATAAAAAAAAATTACATACGCAAAACTTTTTTTTCCTTCTTTTTCTAAAGACTTATTAACCCCCCCTCGTATGAAAAAAATTTTTTTTTTGAATTTTTAAAACAAAATGGAAGGGTCAGAGTCATTTTCCAGGAACGTTTTTTTATGCCTTCGAGGGTGAAAATGTAACTCCCAAAATAGGAGAGCTAGAACAAAAATATACGTATAAAAAAAACAATTTTTACAAAACTGGTACAAGTTTTGAAAAAAGTACATTTTTGGTCCAATTTTTTAGTATTAAATTTTTTATAAAAAAATTGTTATTCAATCAATAAACAACTGCGTACTTCATTAGATAATATAATTATTCAACTACAGTAGAAATTTCAAATTGATCCATCGAGCGGTTTTTGAGCAGAATTTTAACCCGATTTGAAAAAAAGTAATTTTGAATAGAATGCGTTTAAAGTTTTAGAAGCACTTTAATCTTAAAAAATTTCGATTTACCTCCAACCTGCAATGTCTACACCGTACATTTGATTAACTAAATTGACACTTTGCTCTTCGTCCTCTTTTCTGACTGATTTTAAACCTAGTTAAGCCTTTCTTACAGCATCCGTGAGCGATTGCTCGGAATATTTGCTGCAACGCTCAAATACTCCGCAAAGAATTTCCACACAAAAGTTGTAATAGTTTGTACTGATTTTCATTACAAAATTGAAAAATTGAAGCTTTTATTTTTTTAACATATGACCAATTGAATATTGTTTTTATAACTCTAAAGCATCATTTAAGCTATAAAAAAATCAATTTTCTTAAAGTCCTAGTGTGGTGTTATCTCTTAAGAATTAAATTCATTTTAAACACTGCAGAGATACATTATTTACCTGTATACATCAAACTTGATTCCCTATAGTCATGAGAAGCATGCAACCAACCTTTTCACTATTTTAGGAAGGGTTGAATAAAGTTTTACATGCGTCATGACTATCTACAATGTTTAGCATTTATTAATAAATTATAATTTCACATTTATAGACATATCACAGGAAAAACGAGAATTAATAAAAAGAAATACACACAAACTGGACCATTATATATATTTTTTATTTAAAAAAAGATTTTTATGGTCCATATATTATGAACAATTAATTTTTATTTCAAATAAAAGATTATTTATTATTTTAGTGCCATATTCAAAATTTACGATATGAAATTACTTCCTTGTTGGATCAGAATAAAATATTACGAACTGCAAATGTGAACTCAAACGATAAGTTAACTATAGGTGATTCCATCATTACCGAAGAATCAATAAATGATTTTAAAAGTAAAATAAACAATTTAGAAGACAGCTTATCACAGTCTTACATTTTAATAAGTAATTTGCAAAGTCAATCTACCAAAGACGAACTTGAAAAGCAAAAAAAAAGTTATGATGAAAAATGTGAAGAATTAATACAATTACAGAACGACCAAGAAGATTTATTAGAATTATTGGCATATCAAGATAAAAAATTGAAAAAGTACGAAAAAAAGCTATTAGATCTTGGTGAAAAGGTAAGTTTCTGTGTGTGTATATGTATATATATATATATATATATATATATATATATAACTTTCTGATTGTTAAATTAAAAGTTTAGCTTGAGTCAAGTAACTCCTATAGGGGCATATATTTACTATTGCACCAGACTGATATATTATGTTTGCGTAATGTGAGGACTGAGTATTTTCATCATAATCTTTCTCCGGCTAGATAATCATATATGAAAAAGAATCACATACATTTTTATCAATGGAAATCGATCTACAGGTCAAATAAATTAAGCTTCTAGTTGTTAAAGCGAGAGAGACACGTAATGCGTAGTATATATTCTGGGAACGGAAGGGAGCCGACTCTCTAATAATAGCTATAAGGTGATTCGGAGACTCCAAACGTATCAATCGATAGCTGATTTTCAATATGTATTTATAAATAGCCCGATGTGCGCCGTTATTTATGCTCTTTAAGTGTGTGTATACCACAAGCGATTACTTTGCTGTAAAGTATAAGAATTCGTCATTGCAATATAGACACTGTAGATATTTTAACAAATACTAATTAACATATGAATTTTTTGTTGTTCAGTTTTCATGCTACGATAAAATCTATGTTATTGTTTCGAACAATTATACCGAAAAGTTGAATTAGTTAGTTTTTAATCAAAACTATTAAAATCAATAATATCGCACTAACAAGGAAACTACCCTAACCCAAGTGTACCTCACCAATTTTCTTCATATTAGTATTTTGTAGTACATCGAAAAATATTTGACCCGTGTCTTTTCGTTCGTGCTAATTCAGCAATTTAAGGGGTGAAAATCACCACTAAAGTTCACCCCTGAAAACGGTTTTATCTACATTTCTCGAGAACTATTTCGAATTTCTCGGTGAAATAAAGTAAATATTATTTGTTATTCATAAGCAAGTATTTTTGTACTATTCTCATAAATAAGGGTTGCATTCCCTTGTTTTTATAAGTTTTGGGAGTGAAATTTAGACGTACGTTTCATCCCTTAAATCATCGAATTAGCACGAACGAAAAGACACCGGTTAAATATTTTTCGACGTACTATAACATATCATAAAATGAAGAAAATCGGTAAGGTATACCTGGGGTAGTTTTTTTTATAAGTTACTCTGCACATAAGAAAATATAAATCAACATTGAAATCTAAATCAACATTGAATAGTGTAATATGTTTTGCTTTTTTTCATAGTAAATATACTAAAATTTCACTCATAATTAAACTTACCGAGATGTCCCTTCCAAATCGCACCAAACTTTTCATGATGATACAACATCAAAATATATTCCATATGTATTTTTTTATAACGATGCAATTCCATATGTAGAGGGTTGAAACTATTTTTATTATCTATTGTATCGGCGGATGTAGCGAGGCCAGGGCATGCTGGACAAACCTCCACTGTAAGCAAGTGTTTCGGATGTGATCAGATAAATCTTGGTCACATATCTGATACTTGCTCACTGGTCCCTTATAATCTTTAGTTTTGCTACATATGTAAAAACATTGTGCACACTGGGAAAAACTATCTCAGGGGTGGTGGCAACAGAGGGTATGTCAACAATAATATAAATAATGATTCAAATACTACAGTACGAAAGGAAAACATATTAACAATACTAGAGGTATTAGAGGTAATATTAACTCTAGAGGAATAAATACAGATACGAGTAAAGAAAAAATAGAGGTTTAACTAGAGACCAAATTAGTAAGAGAGGTGATGGTCATCCCTATGTTCCTAACGACAGCAAAAGGCAACAGAAACTGGGGTATGCAGTAGCTGCTCATCTAGAAGGTAAAACTCATAATATGTACAGCAATAAAATAATATTTTTATTAGATTTTGGAGCTACCGAACACATAATAAATTTAGCCTTTTAATGAAAAAATTTCAAAATTAATTCAAACGTATTAAATTTTTAAATAGAAATAAATCAGTCGATATAAGATAGGAAAGGTGAGCTATAATTATAAATAAACAAGATAAAAACGATCACAATATTGAATTAACTGATGTAATAGCTGCATCAGATATTACAAATAACTTAATGTCACTTACAAGGAAGGTAAGGGAATCGAACCGATTCCAATGAAACTGTGATATGTTGTAGAGGACTAAATAATAAGCGACAAGTATTTTTTTATGTGCTAATAAACGATTTAAAGGGGCGAAAATTACTCCCAACGTTCGACCCCCAAAACCGTTTTTACAGTATACGAGGTGTGTTCAAAAAATAACGAGAATTTTCGTTTTATGAAAAAAATATTTATTTATTCATCTACATTAATGTTGTCGCCTTCAAAGTAGTCCCCTTCGGATACAATACACTTATGCCAACGCTTTTTCCAATCCTCGAAACACTTTTGAAACTCGATCTTTGTAATAGCTTTTAGCTCTTTCAGCGATTCGCTTTTAACCCATTAACGTCCAAAATGTCAAAATTTCTTGCACGTTTTCAAAGTGATTTTTTCCTATGTAATTGGCGTTGAAAAAATTCTTGAACCACATACTCTGATGTAAAATTGCATGCTCTTTCAGAATCCGTTGCCAGAATCATGATAAAACTCACAGGAAAAGAGATATGCTCGATTGAAACATAAAAAACACCTAAATTTTCGAAAAAAAAAATTTTTAGGATTTTTTTTCGAAGTGTTACGGTGAAGATATCACCTTGCGACCGTGATCAAAGGTGATCATGGGATTTGAAGTTTAACAGGGAATTTTTTTGTTTACCTTGAACCATCGCTTCTTTACAAAATGACGGAAAAAACGAATTTTTTTTTTTTTCAATCTTCATCAACTTTTTTCTCAAAATCTATGGTCTTTAGAAAAAAATTCATAAAAACAAAAATGCCTTAGAATCGCTCGAGAAACATTCTCAAATTTTTTCAGAATTTTTTGAGACAATTTTTGATTTTCCGGGAAACTTGGGAAATGGAATTTTCAAAAATGTCTCCAACAATTCTGAAAAAATTTTAGGATGTTTCTCGAGTGATTCTAAGACATTTCTGTTCTTATGAATTTTTTTCTAAAGTCCATAGATTTCGAGAAAAAAATTGATAAAGTGAACATAGCGGCCGAAACGAATTTTTATTTTTTCAACTTTATCAATTTTTTTCTCGAAATCTATGGACTTTAGAAAAAAATTCATAAGAACAGAAATGTCTTAGAATCACTCGAGAAACATTCTAAAATTTTTTCAGAATTTTTGGAGACATTTTTGAAAATTCCATTTCCCAAGTTTCCCGGAAAATCAAAGATTGTCTCAAAAAATTCTGAAAAAATTTGAGAATGTTCCTCGAGTGATTCTAAGGCATTTTTGTTTTTATGAATTTTTTTCTAAAGACCATAGATTTTGAGAAAAAAGTTGATGAAGATTGAAAAAAAAAAATTCGTTTTTTCCGCCATTTTGTAAAGAAGCGATGGTTCAAGGTAAACAAAAAAATTCCCTGTTAAACTTCAAATCCCATGATCACCTTTGATCACGGTCGCAAGGTGATATCTTCAACGTAACACTTCGAAAAAAAATCCTAAAAATTTTTTTTTCGAAAATTTAGGTGTTTTTTATGTTTCAATCGAGCATATCTCTTTTCCTGTGAGTTTTATCATGATTCTGGCAACGGATTCTGAAAAAGCATGCAATTTTACATCAGAATATGTGGTTCAAGAATTTTTTCAATGCCAATTACATAGGAAAAAATCACTTTGAAAACGTGCAAGAAATTTTGACATTTTGGGCGTTAATGGGTTAATGTCATCTATGCTTGTAAAACGACGGCCTTTTAATTTTCTCTTTATTTTTGGAAATAGAAAAAAGTCACATGGAGCCATATCTGGCGAATATGGAGGCTGAGGCATCGTTACAGTTTCGTTTTTGGCCAAAAATTCACGAACAAACAATGAAGTGTGAGCAGGCGCATTATCGTGGTGCAAAAGCCATGAATTGTTTTGCCACAAATCCGGGCGTTTTTTTCGGATTGCTTCACGCAAACGACGTTGAACTTGTAGGTAGTACTGCTTATTGATTGTTTGACCTTGTGGCAAGAATTCATAATGCACTATGCCATTAAAATCGAAGAACACAGTGAGCATAACCTTCACATTCGACCGCACTTGTCGAGCCTTTTTCGGTCTTGGCGATCCAGAATGCCTCCACTGGGACGATTGAGCCTTAGTTTCGACATCATATCCATAAACCCATGTTTCGTCACCTGTTATAACACGTTCTAGTAGTTCTGCATCGTTATTGACTTCATTTAGCGACTCCTGAGCAACTTCCATTCGCCGCTGTTTTTGTTCGAAATTCAACAATTTTGGAACGAATTTTGCTGCCACACGTTTCATACCCAAAACATTCGAAAAAATTTGATGGCATGAGCCAACTGATATGCCAACATCATCAGCGACTTCTCTGATTGTGATTCGGCGATCGTTCATAACCATTTCTTTCACTTTTTTCACGTTTTTATCGGTTGTTGATGTGCTTGGGCGTCCGGGTCGTTCGTCATCTTCAACGTTTTCGTGGCCACATTGGAAACGCTTATACCACTCATAAATCCTTGCTTTACTCATAGCAGACTCACTATATGCCTTTGTTAACATTTGATAAACTTTACTACACTTTATTTCATTTTTTACGCAAAATTTAATACAAATTCTTTGATCCATTTTTTTTCACAAACGAAAATCGCCGAGCTCGAAAAACACGTCTAACGTTAGCGGCTGCCACTTAAAAAGTAGGCAATGAATATTGCTGAAAATTTTATCGTACTTCAGGGGCATGTGTACCAACATAATAAAAAAAAATTTTATACAAGCGGACTCTCCAAACCCACGAAATTTAAAAATTCTCGTTACTTTTTGAACACACCTCGTATCTCCTTTTCTATACAACATTTCTTTCTGAAAATAACTGGTAAATGTTTTTTACTGAATAACAATATCATACAGCACACCAAGGTCCGCAGGGATGGCATCCCTTATTTTT